AGGGATGGGGTTTTGCCATGTTGGCCAGCTAGTTTTGAACTCCTGACCTCAAGTGATCCCCACCCCCCAACCCCTGTCTTGACCTCCCGAAGTGCTGGGATTACAGGCATAAGCCCCTGCACCTGGCCTATGGCAGGTATTTTGAAGCTTGATCTGTCTAGGTCAGTCCAAAGGGGAGCTACTTAGAGTAATTATCACCTAGTTTATAAGGATAAGAGGTTACTGTGGTAGAGCTTGGGCAGGGGACTTCCCAGGATAAAAGAGTTTGAATTGAATCTTGAGGTATAGACTTTTAGTTGGCTCAATGTATTAGTCAGGATTCTCCAGAGAAACAAAACCAGTTTATTATGGGAATTGGCTCACATGATGATGGAGGCCAAAAAGTTCCACAATCTGCCATCTGCCAGCTAGAGAACCAGGAAAGCTGGTGGTATAATTTAGTCTAAATCTGAAGGCCTGAGAACCAGGGGATCTGATGGTGTAACTCCCAGTCCAAGACCAAAGGTCTGAGAATTGGGAGGAGAAGGTGCTGCTGGTATAAGTCTGAGTCCAAAGGCCTGAGAATGAGGAGCTCTGACATCCATGGGCAGAAAAAGATGTATGTCCCAACTCAAGAAGAGACAGAATGTGTCCCTCTTCCACCTTTTTGTTCTGTTTGGGCTCTCGACAGATTGGATTATGCCCACCACCATTGGTGAGAGTAGATCTTCTTTACTCAGCCTACTCTATACTCAGAGAGACTAACATCTTCCAGAGACAGCCTCATAGATACACCCAGAAAGAATGATTAACCACTCTCTGGGCATTCCTTAGCTCAGTCAAGTTTACACATAAAATTAGCCATCACACTCAGTAAGGAGAGGGCTGACAATGGGGACAGAGAAAACAACATGTGCAAAGGCACAGAGGCTTGGCTGGAGACAGCGCAGCATGCACTCTGCAGAGGGAGATGAGGCTGAAAAAGATAGGCAAAGCTAGACTTGTAATTCTCAGCTAGAGGCTGTATTACAAGTAGCATTAGGAAATGTGGATGATCTTTTTACATTTGTTTATTTGTTTTCCAGTTATGATGGTGAATGGGTATTGTTGCTGGCATTTAGTGGGTGGAACTAGAAATGAGAAGGGCAATCCTGCAAGCAGAGTAACTGTTGTGCCCTAATCGCCAATAGGGCTTTCATTGGGAAACAAGGGGCTAGACTGTGAAAGCCCTTCGGTGTCATGCCAAGGAATTTGCATTTTAGTTCCAAAAAAGATGGTGAGTAGGAATAAAGAGTCTAAAGCAGCTTCTAGATTGTGACTTGGGCAATTGGGTGGAAGGTGGATCTAATCATTGAGGCTGGGATTATAGAGAGAGGGAAATAGAGGTAAGAAAGATCATAAATTTACATTGCATATGTCAACATACAGGTGAAGTTGCCCAGAGTCTTCAAATGTACTGCATAGGTCAGGATAGAGACTGGATGTTGAGGTGGAAGTCCTCAGAGCATCCGAAATAGGTGACATTGCGGGCATGGATAAGATCGCCCAGAGGGAGTGTGAATTTTGGATTATCCAAGGCCAATTTTTAATCTTAGGCAGCCTTTCCTGCTTTTGACTCAGTATATTCACAGGAAATACCAATTAAAATTAATTTCAACATAAGTAAAACATAATTAGGAAGATAAATTTGCTGCCAAAAATATAATGAACTCTAGAGTGAAATGTAAAATGGTTTTAGCTCACTTATCTGATACTTTTATATGATGCTTTACCTTTCTTGATTCTATGAAGCCTAGTAACTTAGAGCAGAAAATATTTTAGAAGTTTTAAGGAGATTAGTAATAGGAAAAAAATAAAAGTTAGGTCTTTCTTAAGAGCTCAGATGATCTGCACTGTGTGTTCCTCATTTAGCTGATGGTTTTCTGGCACATTATAAAGGGAAGTCTTCAGCTAGGTAGAAGAAGGGAATATACCAGGACATAATCTTCGTTTCTCCCCACTCTTTTCATAGAAATTATATTTTCCCACTGTTGTTCATCTGAAGCATGCCTGCCCAGATAGAAGGGCCAATGCATTGTATGATTTTTTTTTTTTATGATCTACTGATTTAAATCTTAAGTTTCAATGGATAAAACTGAGCAGCCCAAATTATTGGCACATAAACCCATAGAGAATAGTCATTGGTTAAGAGAATCAATAGATGTTGTTTTCAATAACAATAGCAGCGTATTCTTCAGCACTTCTAGAAGCACTTGGAAGTTCTTGAGAAGAATACTACTACTGCAGTTCAGACTAGCTTAGATTTTCAGATTGTTCTCTACTGAGTTGATTCAGATAGTTTCACTGGGTTTAAGTAGAATGGAGTCATGACTGTTTTTCTAACATAATACTCAGCTTCCCTTGGGCTCTCCCTAGGAAGAGTGTGGACACAAAGATTGAGTAGAAGCTGTTAATCTCCTCAGATGACTTGCCATTCAGTTAACTGTCAAAGGGCCCATTTGTAAATGACAGCACAGATTATCTGCACTCCAAGTTCTTGCCAAAGGACTGTCACTTGGAACACTCTGTGAACAGACTCTTATCAAGGACTTTATTGTGAGAAAAAGCATTCACACAGGGTTGCCTGTAGATGTGCAGTCCATAATTTCCCTAGAAGATTGTTTCCTAAAGGGTCATCCTTAAATTTCCCTGAAATGCAAATAGGTAGTATATGATAAAAGGATCAAATTGTTTTGGTAACACTCAAGATCAGACAAAGTTTCTTTAGTGAAAAACTTCTTAAAGCATTAGTTTATGTCAATGTACATGTAAAAATCCAAGAAATAAGAATCTGAGTAGGCAGTATTTCTCAAATGTACTTGATCGCAGAGCTCTTAGATAATACTACAAGAAATACTCATGAGCGGCCTACCGTGGTAGCTCGTGCCTATAATCCTAACACTTTGGGAAGCTGAGGTGGGTGGATCACTTGAGGTCAGGAGTTCAAAACCAGCCTGGCCAACATGATGAAACCCTGTAGCTTCTAAAAATACAAAAATTAGCTGGGCATGGTGGCACACACCTATAAACCCAGCTACTCAGGAGGCTGAGGTAAGAGAATCGCTTGAACCTGGGAGGTGAAGGTTGCAGTGAGCCGGTATCACGCCACTGCACTCCAGGCTGGGTGACAGAGCAAGACTCTGTCTCAAAAAAAGAAAAGAACAACAACAACAAAAAATACTCATGTGCCTCCGAACACACCTTGTACTGGATATTCCAAATTTTATGGCAGGTCATCAGCATTCTGGGCACTTGGTTACTTTACTCTGATCTCCCTTCTCATAGAATTACTTTAAATTTATAGTATGTGATTAGCCTATATTGAAGGACATTGTAAAAAATAACCCCATAGCATTCGCTATTATAAAGATGGCCTGTTAGACATTGTCTGTGGCCCAGCCAGTAACTCTCTGTTAGGATCCATGAAGACATCTCTTAAGTTAACACAGTGATAGTTATATTTCACCTGAGCAACTTATCTTTTAAAATCCTGTAGATACTACAAATTTTATTACTGATCTTTTTTTTTACTTGCTCTGACTGGTAGGCAATTCAGAGTGAAATTTGCAGTCCACCTCTAGCAATAATACATGACTGTATGGTATGCACTTTGTATAAATTTTATCTTGGTTTATATATGTTTTCTTTCCCATGCTTCCCACTTACTTAATTTCCAAATTTAAAAATCCTGTTCATTCACTCCTCCAATAAGAATTTATTTAGCACCCTCTCTAGGACAAACACGGGTCTAGGTGTTGGAAATACAGTGGTGATAAAGATATATACGATCTTTGCCCTCCAGATCTTACAGTCTATAGGTGGATATAAACTAGCAAATACACAATACCCTGCATCCAGTGTGACAAAGGACTTGATGCAGAAGTGCAAGAGGGATACCCAACCCCTGTGAAGAGATTGGGGCACACTGTTAAACCTCCTATGTACAACCATTAGAAATAAGCTTCCTGAAGCACACTGGCCGACCTGCAGCTTTGGACCTCTCCTTTATTTTATGGTCAGAGCTCTTGGTGCCCCTCCCCTGTCCTAAACTGCATCCAGGATGGCGCTCCAGGGATGCACTGTTATGCTGGATTCTTCTGCTTTGGTGTTTGCATCAGTACCTACTCTCATTTCCTGGTAGGCGATTCTGCGAACTCTCATGGCTAAACATATCTGGCTTGTGATAGTCTGTGTTTCCAATAGCCCACTGTTTGATGACAGGGGGGACTAACATATCCAATAAACTTAACATAGCTAGAAAGATGGTAGAAGGAGAGGGAAGAAGGGAAAGAGAACACACTCTTTGGATGTACCCACATTTAGGAGGAAGAAGGAAAAATAGCTAAAGGAACTGCCAAGAAGACAGGAAGCCTAGGGTGTCTGGGGGTCACTGAAGCCTCGTAACGAGAGGATTTTTAAAGGTATTCAATGCCACGGAGTAGTTAGGAAGCCTAAAGGTTATTGTGTAGCCACTGAATTTGGTGATGAGACAGGGAAAGACTACCTCCAAAGAGCAATTATAGCTGGTGATGAGGATGCAAAGAGTTAAGAATTATCCAGTCCAATGTGATTGTGGGTGGGGAGGCAGTGAAAACAGCGAGTATAGACTAGCTGACAATTTGGGGAGTAGACGGAAAGTAAGAGGCAGGGTGGTACCTTAAGGGAATAGCAGGGTCAGGGGAAATTTGGTGCTTTTTTGAAAGACCAAATGCTTCACCCATATACATGTCTCATCACAAAAGACTGCCTAAATGTAGCTATGCCACGGTTGCTGGGCACTGGGACAATGCATACAGTCAACATTCTGAAATGCCTCTTAAAAGAGCACTTGAATCATAACCTAAATTTTTAGGAGGGGCAGTGATTTTCTTATCCACCATATCTTGATCAAACTTCAGATAACCTTAACCTAATATTTGAAAAGTGAATAGTTTAAAGTCATTTGTTGAATTGTTCCTTTGCAGTAGGGTAATAGCCAAACAGTGACAACCAAACAGAGGATTTTGCAAGCAGAGCACCTCTGCTGGCAGCAGCAGCCCAGGACAGCAGCCGTCCTGAAGGAAAGGCATGGGTTTGACACTGAGGAGAGTGGAGGGAAAGCTCAAAGGGAGAGAATGGTCCCCAAAGTCTTCTTAAACTGTAAGTACAGAATACAGGACAGTACTTTAGGTAATAGGGTAATGGGGCAAAGAACTTCCTGGTGACTTCTGCGCGCACACACACACACACACACACACACGTGAAAATGGCCAGGAGAACAGACAATTCTTCCACACTACTACATGTCAGCAGCATAGGCAGAGGCTGGTATTAGAGGAGTCAAAATCCAGGCTTAGAATCTGGGCAACAGGCCCAATTCCTCAGTAGACAGAGGGAAACTCCCTCTAAGCCAAAAGGAGGCTTCGTTTGGCAAAGCCCATCCATGGGATGGCTGGGTGGGGGTAGAGAAAGAAGAAACACCTGGCAGGGCATGAAAGTGGGAGATTAAGGCTGGTTCTGCACAATCCAATGGCTTATATCAGTTTCCTTGGACCTATATTAGAAGCCCCGTTATGGGCTGAATTATATCCCCCGCTCCAAAGATGTGAATGTCCTAGCCCCCAACCTGTGAATGTGATCTTATTTGGAAATAGGGGCTTTGCATATGATCAAGCTCAAATGAGGTGATTAGCATTGGGCCTAATCCAATATGGCTGTATCATTACAAAAAGGGGGAATTTAGACCCAGAAACAGACAAGCATACAGGGAGAATCCCATGTGAAGATGAAGGCAGAGATTGGGGTGATGTATCTACAGGCCAAGAACGCCAGAGGTTGCCAGGAAACCACCAGAAGCTAGGAGAGGGGCATGGAAGAGTTTCTCCCTGACAGCTCTCAGAAGTAATCGACCCTACCAACCTTTGACTTTGGACTTCCAGAATGTGAGACAACTGGTTACTGTTGTTTAAGCCACCCATTTGTGGGACTTTATTACAGCAGTCCTAGGAAACTACTACAAATCCTAAAGCCAAGATCCCAACTTCATGTGATGCTCAGGATGGCTGAAATGTTCTGGGCTGTAGTTACACTCTCAAGTCAGAAGGGTCTCTCAGGGATCCCTCTTTTTCATGATAGAGACCCTAGAACAAGCAAGAAGGGATATTTGTGAGAAACTGCAGCCTGTCAGGAGATACAGGCACATTAAGTCAGTATTTGCAGACTCAACACAAATTCAACTGGTACTGTACCAGCCATCAGCTGTTAGATTTTGTCATCTGTCTCTGGCAACACGAATCTGCAACTCGTTCCTTTAAATAAATAAACACATTGCTTACAAATCAGCATGTACTATCATCCTGTATTGCGGAGCAGGTGGCTTAGTTAGGATGAACTGCATATCCTTATAGAGGAAATGCCTGAATCTCGTGCTTATCTCCACCTCTCAAACTGGACTTTTCAAGACATAGAGAGAACTGGGAACTTAGCAGTTATGGAAAAGTCCTGTGAAATCAAAAGTAAGAAATATGCTCTCAAGGTTAGTGCTTTGCTTTGAAGGTCTCTGTACCACTTGTAAGGCTATACACTAAAGATGGGAGTTTTTTTCATACAAGTTACTTGCATCCTGATCTTTCTGGTTGTCTTTTCCATCATTCTAGACATTGGAGTATATAAAGCCAGATCTGTAGGGTTAGCCTCAGCAGAACAACATGATAGCAGAATCATAGATTCTTGGTAGAAGAAACAATCCAAGCCATGGCAAAAGGAATGCTTACCATTATGTGGAAATCTAAACAAAATGAGACACAGGAATCTCCACATGCATTGGTACCAATTAGAACTTTTAAAAGTTTCACTAGGTGCTGCTGTCATAATCACCCTCCGAGGTCTGCAAGGATTCTGGGTACTCATATGTGAAAGCCAGAAATGCTGAAACTTCCAGCCTGTATGCCAGAAGTCACATGTCAATGAGCTTCATTGAGTCAAGGTAGTAATCAGGTGTGCCTAAGGGCCAAATCAATCTGAGATTTACATTGCCTGCATTTTCTCTGAACCTGGTCTAGTCAAAAGGCATCTAGGTGTTCCTTTTTTTTTTTTTTTTTTTTTTTTGCCAATGAAAATGTTCCACTAACATGTACATACAATATTAAAAATCAGAGCATATGTTTCTTCCAGTGGAAAGAAGACTGCCAGGGAACTAGAGGCCTGGATTGTAGTCCTGAGCATAGAACCCTGGGCAAACCAAACCCTCTTTCCTCATTTGTAAAAGATGGACTTGTACCTAGGAATCTCAGAGATAACCTGTAAGTCTAAAGTTTCACAAATTTGTCTTTAATCTCCCAATATTTGTATGATAGAATAAGTAATATATGATTTTTCAGCACATTCTCATATTTTCAAATAATCATTTTAGAAATCAGAAAGAAGAAAATTATTGCTATCACAGTAGAAAACATTCCACTTCTCCCTATTATCAATTTGTGACCTAATTTAGCATCTTATTATAAATGATCTGAATTGTTCAGTACACATAATAATCAAATATAATCAGTTTGATGGCTATCAGTGGATATGAATCGGGAGTAGGGTGAAAGGGGAGGACATAACTACCCAGGTTCTTTAATTGTTCTTGTAGTTTCAATGGCTTTTTTTTTTTTTTTTTTTCTTGAGATGGAGTCTCACTCTGTCACTCAGGCTGGAGTACAGTGGTTCGATCTCGGCTCACTGCAGCCTCTGCCACCCAGGTTCAAGCTATTCTCCTAAGTAGCTGGGACTACAGGTGTGCGCCACCATGCCTGGCTAATTTTTGTAGTTTTTAGTAGAGACAGGGTTTCATCATCTTGTCCAGGCTGGTCTTAAACTCCTGACCCCGTGATCCATCTGCCTCAGCCTCCCAAAGTGCTGAGATTATAGGCATGAGCCACCGCACCCGGCCTCAATGGCATTTTCACAACATTCCTGCCCACAACTTCTGTGTAATTTTCTTAGCTATTGTCAAAATGATTGCTTTGCTCCATTCTAGAAGAGGGAATGTTTCAGGAAGATCAAAATCTCCATTTGTATCTATGAAATCCATGGCAGCATTTTATCTATTATTGTTGTTATCATTATTGAAAATTAAAGGTGCAATATTAAATATTTTCGGTGATGAAAGCTATAGATCTTTTGCCTTCTTACAAAGAGGGCACACAATGTGGCTCTGATTACTAGCCGATTGCATGGGACAGCCAAGGCTTTCAGTGAAAGGAATTTCTGCTGACAAGCTCTTAAAAGGTGGTGTGCTTGGCCCTTAGGCCTTGAACATGGTGAACATTTGCCATAGATCGCAGCCTTGAAAACCCTATGTCCCATAACAAAAGAAGAATCTCCCCGCTTTTACAGAGTCCAACATATGCTGCATGTTTCCCTGTCAGCCTGGCAGCACAAACAGGTTCCTTTCATAATGCAGTATACAGAAAGCCTGTAATTATCAGCTGCAGGTAGTGACCACCTGCTCATGGAGTACACAGAACTGCAAAAAACATGGAGGAATCTGTAGTAAGAATGATCCTTTTGAATTGTTCCTGAGAGGCCCTGCTTTGAGGGTTTTAGAATAGATATGACTCTTAATCAGCCTCCTTTTGCTTACTGAACGGGTAATTTCAGTCAGAAGGTAATCATACACAGACAATTAAGACCAAGAATTTTACTAACATCTTTAGCCAGGGCACACTACTCCATCGAGTTTCACATTCAAAACAAGGATGCCTTTGTTTGGTATTCATTTTGGCATTTGATTATGTAGTGGATGCTGGTGCACATTGCCAAGGTCCCCTGTGAGGACCAAGCTACCAGCTTACTCTCACAGCTACCAGGAGCTCTGCCTGGGGAAGACCTGCAGCTGAGTCCCTTCCCAGGATTTGCCCTCAGCCTAAGCAAGCTGCCTTACACAAGGTTCTATCCCCTTTCTTTGGCAGCTCATATCCAATGATTGGTCTATCAAGTGGTACAAGGCACACCTGCTTTTCTCAATTCTGGAAAGCTCTAAAGGGTCATCTCAGGTTCAGAGCCTCCCAGGGGATGAGACAAGGTCTCTGCTGTGACTGGATTATAGTTCAGCTTCTCCTTCTGCCCCATCCTGCCTCCCTCGCTCCCTTACAGGTTCTATTACTGACAGCATCCCTACAATAAACTCTTGGCATACCACCTCATATAGATTTAGTAGAATTGTTTTATTTTTAAAATCTTCTTATTTAAAGAAATAAAAATTCAGATTGGTGATTAGACATTTCAATGACTATCTCAGATTTAGATTTCTGTAATAAGAGGATCCAACTATCCATTGGCAATTTCCCATGTGTTCCTGGTCTGGAATGACTTGGGTCTCGATTAATTCATTAGACTTTGTCTACAACTAACTCTTAGGATTAGGGAAAGTTGAAAGTCAGCTTTCTACCCACACAGTTTCCATTTCAAGATACCTAAAATAAGGCTTTACATTATCTGCTCAACATCTCTCTTTGATGTTAGTCAAAGGATACAAATTTCAGTTAGGAATAATAAGTTCAAGAGATCTATTATACAACATGATGGCTATAGTTATTAACAATGTATTGTATTCTTTAACATCGCTGAGAGTAGATTTTAAGTGCTCTCACCACACAAATGATAAGTATTTGAGGTAATGCATATGTTAATTTAGCTCAATTTAGCCATTTCACAATGTATACATACTTCAGAACAACCAGTTACATGCAATAAATATATATGATAATTTTTATTTGTCAATTAAAACTTTAAAAATAAAAGGCTGAGGCGTCCCTGTGCTTTTCCAATTTAGTGTAAATTGCACCTACAGTATGAAAAAAAGTAGAACTTTTTTTCCCTTGTTCTAAGCTTAAAAAAAACCCACAAAACTATGTGAATGAAATTCCATCTGCTAGATGAATAATGTGACAGAAATTGGCTGACATTTATCTTGCTTCCAGGAAGATAGATCTAAGTGTAGAAAAGGCCTAGAGTCATGTCCAATCTATTCCAATCTGAGGGTGGGGATCAAATCTCAGTCATCTTCAAACCAAAGAAAACTAAGAAGGCCAGTCATTTGGGGGGATGGCTTTGGGGATTTATTCTGTCCTCAGATGTTGTCAAGAGTATTTGGAGGTAAGACATGAATGCTAGTA